CCACATACGATTGACCGCATTATACAACATGGTGTGAGAGCTATGTGTGACCCCCCCCCCCTATGTGCACTCCTGACCCTGGGGCCGCTCTGTATAAATCTCCACGAACAAGAATGGGCGGCGCGCACGGGGAGCCTAGCCAGGCGGTCCTGGCCGCCTTGCTCGCACACGAGAAACACCTGACGCACCGCCATCCCTGCGGGTCGACCCTGTGCGAGGACGCAAAGAGGGCGACGGCCGAGGGCGCAGGCGGTGGTGGCATGGGAGAGGGGCGAGGTGGAGGGGGAGAAAGAGCAGCAGGCACGACGTCGGGCGACGGGGAGTGCTGATCAGGCTTGCTGTTCGTGACACGCATCACGTCCAGGTTGACCCTCATTAGCCTTTTCCGTATCAGCGCTGCCTTGCTCTCAACTTTTTCAAAACCCTCACTCTCTGACGCTGGGGCAACCTGCACTCGCGTGCAGCAGCGCCAGACAGCTCATCAACCACGGTATTACCCACGATAAAAATGCATGGGAGGCTGCCTCTACAGCGCCTCGCGCGCCGACAGGTGCGAAGGAACCCAGAAAGGACTACGACCTCGTGCTCTGGGCGCTCCTGCCCATCCAAGACTCTCCCAATTCTCCTCCGCATGCTGGCGAGCTCCCCCCCCAGGCTCACGATGCCTCCTTGCCCACCATCCCTCCACCGCCGCCTCGTTGTCCGACACATAGACGACAGGACCGATGGTATACCGAACAGTGAGTTCAAGCCCGGCAAGCTCTCCAAGAGGAACAGATTGATGAGGCCCAACCAAGGGCCCAAATAAACCCACAGAGATCTGAGGAGGATCAACACTACGCATACTCGCAACACCGATGCCAACTCTTCTGAAGAGGGCGCTCTTGGAGTCGGGACCTCCAGACGCATCCCCGAAGACGAGAGCAGGGTTATCCTCGCTCCCGACCCCAAGACATCCCCCAAAAGGCTCCGAGCTGTTCAATCCAATGGTACTCCAACTCTCGGCCTGAGCTGGGGGGTCGACACTGACCCAGCCCGACGGGATCAAACCCCGCATCCAGAAACACGCGGACATCTCGCCCTGATTCAGAGCCTGACTCACACGTGCCTCCGAAGCGGTGTAAATTTCATGCCCCGTGTTGCATTTGCACAGCCAATAGCGGCGCAGGGGATCCTCACGCGCCTTCCAACACCCAGGACAAAGGTCATCAGCAATGAGCCCTAAATCCGTACGCCGAGACTGGGTCCAGGATCCCCCCACCGCAATATTGACGAGGACCTCAGCGAGCTGTCGTCCCTTGGACACGGACTGCAGCTGCTGAATGAGTTGCCTCAAAGAGCCGTTGCTGGCACCTTCTTCCAAGCCAGCGCAGCAGAAATGCTCAGCGGCCTGACGCCACAGGAGGCTGGCCTGGTCGGCCTCGAATTCAAGCAACAGATCTCTGGCTTGGTCCATGCCCACGAGTTGATCATCGTGGAACTGCCACTCACTGGAAACGCCATCACCCGCGTTGGGAACCTCCCACGCGTCAGCAGGCCGAGGAACCCATCCCACCTGCAACAGATGCGCAATCGTGGCTGAGACTGGGCCTCGGATGTGGCGGGCGTACTCGTTGGGCTGGAGCTGCCTAAACTGATCCAAGATGATGGGCCAAACCTTCCTAACTCCTGGCCTCACTTGCGGGCCATGGATCCAAATCCTAAGCCATTCTCGACTGCAAGACGTGGGGAGTCTGATCCCAGGGTCGAAGCCAGGGGTCCTCAGATCCAGCAGAGTGGTGAAACACCGCCCCTTTTTGGCCGCTCCTGGGACCGCTCCCAAACGCCTCCGAAGGGTAAGAAGTTGCGTCCCGAAGACTCCGTAAATCTGCATCCCGTAAGTAGAGGCCGCCTGAGGCCCACCCAGCTCCACCTTCTTAGTCACCAGATACCTCCGAGTGGCCCTCGCGAAGCCCCGCAATGCGTGGCTCTGGCTGTTCCCCTTGACGACCTTCTGCCCCCTAGTAGCTCTAGCGAGCCGCTTCCCAAGACCCTGGTCAACTCCAAGATAAGCAGCCTGGAGCACTGGTTGTACTTGGATGCACATTTTCCGAAGCCATGCAGAGACGTCCTTGGCGACGCTGTGCTTAGAGCAAAGAACGACGCTCTTGGTGGCCAGGGTGAGCTCCTCACCACGAAAAAAAAGATGAGCGTCCTGAATGCTTGACTGTAACTCCTTCCTGACAAACTGCCCCGAGCCGACCGCCGAACCGTCGAGGTCATCGATCCACAACCTGTGACTCATGTTAACGTGGGTCGTACAAAGCTTCTGGCACACGAAGTAGGTAACACACCGAGCGAACCGAGTCCCGTTCCGAAGCCCCTGCGCCACGCTCCTAGCAGGCTGGAAGGCGATCGAATGTGCACCTATCTGAGAGGCCAGCCTCGGCGACAGGCAGGTCTGCAACTCCAGAAGAAGCAGCGCGGGAGGATAGCCTAAGCGGAGAGCAGCACGGATAAGACGCGACCATTGAATCTGATCGTAGAAACTCTTGATGTCTAGGATGGCCCGACCCACCGTAGCCCCCAACTTGACGGCAACCTCGGATTCCAATGCTTTAAGATACGCTTCCCGAAACGCACTGTTACCTGCAATGGCGGCATCCCAGTCTGAAGTGAGAGAGGCGGACCAATCGCGACCACAGGGTTCGCGACAGAGACTCCAGACTCGGCGCAGCATAGCGATGAGCCCGACCACCCTGTCCCCACCTGGTTTCTTGGCTAACAACCTCCCCACCACCAACATAGTCTGACATGGCCAGGTGCGATGTTCCTCGATCGCATGAACGAGACGACGCAATTCTTCTAGCGCAAGATCAGGGAGCCGTTCAAAATCGAGAGGAGAAAGCTGATCAATACCCTTCCCTGCCTCCCCTTTCATCTTCCGCAGAGCTGCTCTGACGTCAGAAACAGCAAGAGGCGGGAGAGGATCATAATCAGCAGCGGCTCTGATCGTGCAAAAAAGATCGTCCAAGCCTGTGAGATCGAGGCTCGCTGCGGTCCACAATTGCTGCCAGTGCTCAACTTTGTGATCTACGATGTCCTTAGGGTTGTAAAGCCTCTGGCCCTTAACGACAAACTCCTCGGCAGCGTGCGGGGCCTTGCGCAGAGATTTAAACACGATTCCCAAGGAGCTTTCCTCGACGATCCAATCCTGGAAGCGCTTCAAAGACGCGTGCACAGCACGCCCTCTGGCCCTCTTAGAGGCCTTCTCGGCCAGGTCCTTCAAAAGCCCAAGATCCCCAACCTCTAAGCTCCCAAGATCCCCAAGATACTGGAGCCAGAGGTCCCATCCAGGAGAGCCCTACGAGGTAGGGATGACACCGTGGGCCCCGTCGGGAATATCTCCAACAAGAACTCTGCCCACAGCACACAGTTGCTGCACTTGAAGACTACCGTTGTCACGAGCCCTATGACGGTGGAGTCGCAGAAGAACGGCATGGGCACGTGCCCACCAACTGGCAATGCTGTCTGCGAGAGGCTGAGATCGCACATGCTCAGGCCTCTGCACCTCCTGTGCGGCTAGACGTGGCCCCTGACTGCGAGACCTACCTCCAAAATGCTGGCCATGATGTCCTAGAATAGTATGCTCAGCTGTCTGTACCCACGCCCCAAACATGCTGCTAACGGTCATCACCTTATCCCCCCCCCATACGGAGAGCTAAAGAAGACGCGATAGCAGGCCACACGTCGTCGTAGGTCTCCTGAATGTCACCCACTTGATTCCGATGATACTGCCAAAGCTCTTCTGGGAGAGCAAAGGAGGGGGGAGACGGGGTGGACTGAGCGCTATCTTGGGCGTCCTTTTCCGCAGAGACACACTCACTACTAACCCTAGGACAGAAACTAGACTCGTGGGCCCGCGGATCCTCCTCTTCGGGAAAATCATTGGCCTCTCCAAAATTACACGGGTCGTCGGGGTCCTCAGATCCCTCGAGGGCCCCTTTCTGAAGTGTCCTTAGTGCATGGGCTGCTACTCTGGGAACCACTAGAGCCTACCAGATCCCCGAAAAAAGCTTCGCACGCAGCCTGGAATTTGCTAGCAAAAGCTTCACGCGCGCTCTGTCGCTCACGCTTAGCTCTCTGAGACTTACTGTTGGGCTTTGGCTGCGTGGAGGGCCTGGGGACCTGGGGCAAGGGGTGGGCCACATGCAGGGCTCTGGTTACAAGCTGCTGCCCTTCATTTCGGATGGTGACTGAAGTACCACAGTGGGTACCCCACGGCACATCCAAAACAGCTTCGACCTGTCCTATGTATGGGCATGCCGCCCTGCTGGCCAGCACGTAATCAATGTGAGACTGTCCTGTGCCTGTGACGCAAGTGTGAGTGACGTTGGATTGCCAAACGTAGCCTTGTACCTGATCGATAAAGCCACTCCTAGCTAAATCCCCAGGGGTCATGTTAAAATCGCCAACGATCACCCACGGCAATTGCAGGAGAGAAACGAACGTTCCGAGCCTAACCAACCTTTGAGCGTTCTCTCCTACAAATCCAAACGACGCGATTCCGTTATATACTATCAGTACCATGGAGTACCCTCGGAAGTGAAGCGTGACTGGCAGAAATCCATCAAAGGCGTCCCCAGACGCCGAGCACAGAGCAGGAAAGTCGCTGGGCTCTCCTGTCCGATGCGCTTGCGGATGGCCCTGCGCCAGGAACACCTCTCCCCCTTCATTAGACCGAGAGTGACTCAACTCCGCACGGGGCCGTGCCGAGTTTAAAAAAGGACGCAAGTGAAATTTCTTAGCCTGAGTGGCCCAGTGATCCTCCCTACTGGCAGCCACATGGCTCTCAGCTAGTGCGAAGAAGTTAAACCTCGACGTGACGTCCGAGGAAACCAGATAGTCCCAGGCAAGCGGTCCCAGGCAGGTGATATTCCCGAACAAGATCCGAGAAAACGCCTCCGAGACACGACCTCTCTCCCCTTGAGAACTCTCGCCTGCTGGGGTCTGGCTGCAACCTACTGCTTGATGTGCAAGCTGGTGATCCCCATCATTTGCTGGAGCCGTCCGCCTTCTTCTGCCCTGCCCCTCGGAGGGTCCCCGGCTGCTCGGGCGCCCTCCGGGTTGGCTAGGGTGAGTGAGGCCATGGGACGCTCCAGCCGTGCCCGCGCCGCCGTCGCCGCCGTTCTCGCCGTAGCGCTCGACGTCCTCGCCAGCGGCGCCGGCTGCCCCCTGCTGCTCTTCGGCCTCGTGCAGCTCGGCAGGGACGAGCTGCGCCGCCTCACCTCACGCGGCGGCCCCGACCCTGGCACCCTCGGCGCCTTCGGCCTGCTGGGCTGCCTCGAACTTGGCCGCTGAGAGCCGCTGCGCCTCCTTCTCGATCTCGTCCTCTGTCGGCACGACCTTGGGGGCCTCTGCGGGCGCAGGCCCGCCCGTGGGCCCGCTGGCCGTGCCACCGCTAGGCTGAGCGCTGCCGCCGCCGCCTGCGACAGCACCACCTTGCTCAGCTCGCCTCTTCTTGGCCATTCGCATGGTGATCTCCTGCTGCATCGCGGCCATCTTCTGCTTCCCCTCCTCGACCTGCGAGCCCTTCGACGTGATGGACTCCCTGGCCGAACGTAACTCACCCTCAAGTTTGCGAAGCTCCTCACGTTCTTGTGGCTCGCACTCGTACTCCTCAAGCTTGCTGAAGAACGCTTCGTCCCATGTGAGCGTCCATGAAGGAGTGCCGTCCTTGCCAGGCCCCGCTGCCCCAGGCTGTGCCTCCTGAGAGACGCCTGCGGCCACTGCCAAAGCTCGAACTGCTACCTTCTTGCTTAGCTCGGCGGCTGCAAGCTCCTTCGCCATCTGCATCTCCTTCTCCTCCGCCTTCGCGAGGGCGCTCCTACACTTGATCACCTGCGCGACTGCCTGGTCATGCCTCATATTGGCGTTCTTCCACTCGCCTGCTGCCCTTCGCAGAGTCTCCTCTGGAGTCTGCACCTGGACAGCAGGCCCTGGGCGATCTGCGGCCTCGAGCTCCGCGAGCAACTGGGCCTTCAACCCCATGTCTTTGGTGGAATTGATGATGCGCAGTAGCCGCGTCTTGACTTCGGACGAGGCGTCCCCATCTGAACCCTTGCCGCCACCATATCCCTTGCCCTGCCCCTTACCAGAGTCGGTGAGGGCGAGCCTGAGCTGGTTGGCACCCTGGTCTGTGGAGTCGTCGCCGTCCTTTTTCCCCTTGGGCTTGTAGAGCTTGACGGTTCGATTCCATCGGCTGCAGACACACCGACGAGTGGTGAGAACGTCGTTCCACTCGAATGTACCACAACCTGAGCACGGCTTCCATGCACGCGGAGCCGTCTTCGTCATAGCCCTCGACTTTGCCACGCCGATCGAGCGCCAAACTATCAGGGAATCCTTGATCTGTGGCGCGAGACGACGTGCCCCTCAAGCCCCCTCGTGGCGGGGCGAGGCTTGGGCGCCTGCCAAAATGGCTTGGGCCCAAGTGGCTTGAGTGGCATGGGGATGGGGAGGAGGAGGAGGAGGAGGAGGAGGAGGAGGAGAAGGAGGAGGAGGAGGAGGAGCAGGAGGAGGAGGATGGGGAGGAGGAGGATGAGGAGGAGGAGGAGGAGAGGGAGGCGGCAGGAGGAGTTGTGCGGGCCGAGAAAGGATGGGGATGACGATGAGAAGGATGATACGATGATGATGATGGTGATGATGATGCTGATGATGATGATGATGATGATACTGATGATGACGCGGATGACGAGGAGGTGGACGATGAGGATGGTGACGACGATGCTAACGATGATTCTGATGATGATGATGATGATGATGATAATGATGATGATGGTGGTGGTGGTGGTGGTTGTGGTTTTGATTATGTTGGTGATGATGGCGAAGATGACATTGGTGAGGAGGAGTTGCAGGTCCAGGATGGTGATCCGCACGATAATTATGATGCTGATGCTGATGCTGATGCTGATGCAGGTTACGAGGATGATAATGGTGACGGTGAGTGTCCGGAGGCTGATTATGATGTTGATGCTGATGATATTGCCCATGATTATGATGATAATGGTGCTGCTGATGTTTATTGTGAGGATGATGAAGGAGATGATGCTTATGCTGATGGTGATGATGGTTGTGTTGTTGACGATGATGGTGGTGATCATTGATGCTGCTGCAGATGTTGCTGACGATGACGGTGCCCCATGATGACGAGGATTACGACGTCGATGATGACGATCGTGATGATGCTGTTGCTGCTGATGATGATTATGATGGCGCTCATGCTGGTCATGATTACAATGCTGCTGATGATGGTGTTGGTAATGGTGGATATGATGATGATGGTGACCTTGGTAATGATGATGATGACGACTAGGGTGGTGTTGTTGTTGATGATGGTGATGATGGGGATGATGATGGTGACGGCAATGGTGATGGTGATGGTGATGCTGAGGATGATGATGAGAGATGAAGGGTAATTGGTTTGGATGATACTGTTGATGATGATGATGATTGTGATGATGGTTTTGGTTGTGGTGATGGTGGTGATGATCAGCGTGGTGATGATGCTGATGATGATGGTCGTGGTAATGATGATGGGGATGCTACTGCTGATGATGTGGTCGTTGATCATGGTGCTGCTGATGCTGTTGATGCTGATGGTGATGATCATGATGCTGATTCTGATGATGGTGTTGATTATGAAGCTGATGCCGATGATGCTGCTGATGATGATGTTGGTAACGCTGATGATGCTGATACTGATGTTGCTGATGATGATGCGGATGATGGTGATGATGATGACGACGATAGTAGTGATGATGCTGCTGATTGTGATGATGATGGTGAAGATGATGCTGATGAAGATGATGATGATCATGGTTATGATGCTGATGATGTTGATGATAATGAGTTTGATGATGACGATGGTGATTCTGCTGCTGCTTATGACGATGATAATCATGATAATGCTGATTATGATGATGACGATGATGATGATGATAATGATGTTGATGAAGATGAATATGATGATGATGATGAAGATGCAGATGATGATGATGATGATGGTGATGATGATGATGCTGCTGCTGATGATGATGACGATGATGATGATGAGGAGGAGGATGATGAGGATTATGATGATGATGCTGATGCCGATGCTGCTGCTGATGATGATGATGATGATGATGATGATGATGGTGATGATGATGATGATGATGATGATGATGATGATGATGATGATGATGATGATGATGATGATGATGATGATGATGATGATTGAGGTGGCCTTACTGCCGGTGCCGCCGGCCCTGAAGATGGACGACGACCACGACGGCGGGTTCGGCGACGACGACGACGCTGATGTGGGGCAGAGTCCTCAGTGATGCTTCGTGTGGCCTCATCGGAGCGCGCTCGTAAGCTTCTGGGGGGCAGTATTGGGGCCTATTTGGAGCAACGCTGGAGCCTCTTAGGAGCCTCTTGGGGGTCCCTTCGGGCTTCTGGGGTCCTCTTGGAGGTCCCTTCGGGCTTCCTGGGGGCCTCTTGGGGGCTTCCTGGGGCCTCCTGGGAGCTTTTCGAGGCCGAGGGTTCGAAATATTCGTCCGGGCTCTCGTGTGGGCATCCGCTTGGAGTTGTTTGGGGGGCCTCTTGGACCGTCCAGGAGGCCTCTAGGGCCGTCGTGGGGTCCTCTTGGATCGTTTGGGTGCCGTGTGGAATCCTCTTGGGGACCTCTTGTGCCGATCTTGGTGGCATTTTGGGCAGTCTTGGGGTGTCGGTGAGCCGAAAATGCGAGAACGCCAGAACCTTACAAAAACCCAAAAGAACAGGTTGATTGTTTGCCTGTTGGGGCCCTCTTGGTGTGCTCCTGGAGGGCTCTTCGAGCGTCTTTGGAGCCGCCTGGGCTGTCAGGAGGCCGATAGTTCGGCAATTCGGAGCCCTCTTGGACCGTCTAAGGGGCCTCTTGGGCTGCCTTGGAGCCTTTTTGGGCCCCAGGACCCTCTGGGAGAGAATAATGCTCTGACCCGGGACCCCCCCCAGGACCCCCCCCCCGGGACCCACCCAGGACCCACCCCAGGACTCCCCCAAGGACCCTCCCCCCCGAGAATGAAGGGATCACAAGGAAGGGGCTTACCTTGGACTCCAGGACGACGTTACTTAATTTAGCTTTGGTTTCGCTTTGGATGGCTCGCTTGAAGAGGAGGGTCCAGAGACAGGGGGGAGCGCGACGAGCCCAGGGAAAGGGGGACCCGGGTCAAACGCGACTGCGACGACGTTGAAAACGACGACGAAAATGAAGACGACGACGACGACGATCACGATCACGTCGAGTCAAACAGAACAGCATGTTCCACACGATGCGGATAAAGATAACGAGGATGCTCATGATTTTGATGGTGAAGGAGACGGGGGAGGAGGAAGTGGAGTTGGAGGAGGAGGAGGACGAGGAGGACAGGGAGGAGGAGGAGGAGGTGGAGGAGGAGGAGGTGGAGGAGGACGGGGAGGAGGAGGAGGAGGAGGAGGAGGAGGAGGAGGAGGAGGACGGGGAAAACGAGGAGGAGGAAGAGGGAGGACGAAGAGGACGATAAGGAGGAGGAGGGAGGAGGAGGACGAGGACGGAGGACGAGGACGAGGAGGATGGGAAGGTGGAGGAAGAGGCGGATGAGGAGGATGAGGGGGAGGAGGACGAGGAGAAGGAGGAGGAGAAAGAGGAGGAGGAGAGGAGAGGGAGGAGGAGGAGGAAGAGGAGGAGGGGGAGGAGGAAGAGAAGCTCGATGTGAGAAGTGTGGGGAAGGATGATGAGGAGGAGGCGGGATGAATGACGAAACGCAGGAGGAAGAGGAGGAGGACGGGGAGCCGGAGGAGGAGGAGGAGGAGGAGGAGGAGGATGAGGAAGATGACCAAGATATGAAGGAGCAGGTGGGGGAGGTGGTGGTGGTGGTGGTGGTGGTGGTGGTGGTGGTGGTGGTGGTGGTGGTGTGTGGTGGTGGTGGTGGTGGTGGTGGTGGTGGTGGTGGTGGTGGTGGTGGTGGTGGTGGTGGTGGTGGTGGTGGTGGTGGTGGTGGTGGTGGTTGGTGGTGGTGGTGGTGGTGGTGGTGGTGGTGGTGGTGGTGGTGGTGGTGGTGGTGGTGGTGGTGGTGGTGGTGGTGGTGGTGGTGGTGGTGGTGGTGGTGGGGTGTGGTGGGTGGTGGTGTGGTGGTGGTGTGGTGGTGGTGGTGGTGGTGGTGGTGGTGGTGGTGGTGGTGGTGGTGGGTGGTGGTGGTGGTGGTGGTGGTGGTGGGTGGTGGTGGTGGTGGTGGTGGTGGTGGTGGTGGTGGTGGTGGTGGTGGTGTGGTGGTGGTGTGGTGGTGGTGGTGTGGTGGTGGTGGTGGTGGTGGTGGTGGTGGTGGTGTGTGGTGTGGTGTGTGTGTGTGGTGGTGGTGGTGGTGGTGCTGGAGGAGGAGGAGGAGGAGGAGGAGGGAAGAGGAGGAGGAGGAGGAGGAGGAGGAGGAGGAGGAGGAGGAGGAGGAGGAGGAGAGGGTGGGCAGGACTGACGAAGCGGACGAGCGCCCTCCATAGCATGTCTGAGGAAGGAGGACAAGAGGAGCAGGAGGAGGAAGAGGAGGAGGAGAAAGATGAGGAGGTGGAGGTTCAGAAGGGGGATGAGGAGGGGGGGCAGGAGGGTAGCAGGTGGAGGGGGAGAAGGGCAGGAGGAGGGTAGGAGGTGGCGGACGAGGGGGAGGAGGTGGTGGAGGACGGGGAGGAGGGCAGGAGGTGGGCAGGAGGAGGCGGGCAGGAGGTGGTGGAGGGGGAGGAGGTGGTGGAGGAGGAGCAGCAGCCGGCGGGGCCGTGCAGGAGCGCAGGCGGCATGTCCGCGCTCACCCTCGCCGAGGCCGACCTGCCGCGCCGCGCCGGGCCCGCTTGCCCGCCATCGGCGGGGGGGGCGGGCGGACTCTGCTCCGGTTCCATCAGGGCTCGACGACTTTTCGTCGGTCGATTCGTGGGGATCAAGCCGGACACATCAAAGTAGGTGCAAACAATTACTCGAGCAGTGGCGAAGCGTCCTGGCTCGTCTATAGGCCCACTAAGGAATGGTCCAAGAACCTTTTGTGTCCTGCACGGAAGGTTCTTAGAACCTCTCTGGCTGAGACTGTCTTGCTTAAACACATCGGGCTTTTGTTCTAAGAATATTGTTTTCTTGTTTTGCTAAGATTTCAGGGTTCGAAGAACATGTCGTGGAAGGCCCATAGGAATGCTGGGGTGGTCGGCCCCTGCTACAAGTACTGGTCAATCCGGGTAAACCCAGGGAGATCCCAGGACATGCTGCTGAGCAAGTCGTGCCGATCCAACGCGAGTCGAGGGACGGCAGAAGGTGTCAAGGC